GGAGAGGTGGCGTACATCGTGGAAAACGTGGACACCAAGGACGATGAAAGAGAGGCAGTCAAGCTGGCGGAAGAAGAAATCCGAGGAGAGCTGGGGGCAGGGGTGGCATGGGATGCGGCTCAGAACGGGAGCAGGGCGCACCGGCCGTGCAGATACTGGCAGAACGTGCTGCCAGAGGCAGTGCTGCAGTACGAGTTGTCATTGATGGAGCGACCGCGGCCGAGGCTGGTGGCAGAGATACTAGAGCCGGCACGGATCCCCGCACCTGTGCGATACCCAGATCACGAGACGCAATACCCCTGCAACGTGGTGGGAAAGCCAAGACAGGCGTGGCCGACATTAGTGGCCTACGAGCGGGCTGAGGGCTTCAAGATGAAGGATGGCATAGAGGGGCCAGGGATGGTGTTCGACCAGCTGTCGGGGGAATGGGAGGAGCCGACTGCGCTAGAGAGGGAGCTGGCGATGGGCTTCATGGCAGGAGCAACCGCAAGTCTGGAAGTAACAGAGACGCAGCGGAGAAGGGCGCTGGGAAAAGCGATGGATCTAAATGCAGTGCATTGGCTAGTGGGGACCATGGACAGGCATCTGGAGAGGAACCGGCTGGAGCGACGCAGGGACCATGCAGCAAGGGCAAACCCAAGGACAGAAGGTGACGAGGTCAAAGAGGAAGAGGCAGAGATCCTCCTCGAGCATCTGGAAGACGAAGCATGGGAGATGAGAAGGAAGGGAGTGCCACAGGAGAAGAGGGCTGAGAGGTGGAGCGACCGTGGAGGAGCACCAGGAAGATACCCAGACCAAGAGGAGGAGGAGGAGCAGGGGGGAGAAGGAGAGCCTGAGATGGACTGGGATTCAGAGGATGAGGAGGACCCTACGGAGAGATGGATCCCAGATCCGGACGAAGTCGTCCTGGGGCCCAGCCGAGCGTACATGGCGGCACAGGTGGAAGAAGAGGGCGCAGTACTGGGGGCAGGAACGGGTGAAGAAAGGGGAGGGGCAGAAGGACTGGAGGGGCTGGCAACAGCGCCGGTAGCAGCAGCACGGGCAGAACCAGAAGAGGCGCAGTCGCAAGGGACAGAATGGGATATAGGTGGAGCGGTACAAGGGGAGATGGAGCTGAGGCTGGAAGCAGTGCTGAGACAACATGCAGCCGCGTTCGCACACACGCTGCAGCAGCTTGGGAAGTGCGTCACCAGCACAATGCACCTACCTCTGACCAGCGAGGTGCCAGTATACCAGAGAAGGAGAAGGATGAGCCCGCAAGATATCAGTGTCTGCACTGACAAGTGCCAGGAGTTGCTAAGCGCCGGATTGATCAGGCGATCATCATCCGACTACGCAGCAGCGACAGTGGTAGCAGCGAGGACCGACCTGTCCGGCGCCATACTGTCGCGCCGCATGTGTGGGGACTACCGCGGACTGAACAAAGTGACGGCCACAGACAGATACCCAATGCCCATGGCAGAGGAGATCTTCGACCAGCTGCACGGCAGCTGGGTATTCTCTACACTGGATCTGCGGCAAGGTTTCAACCAGATACCAATAGCGGAGGAGGACAAGAAGAAAACGGCCTTCCACGGGCCAGATGGGCTATACGAGTGGAATTACATGCCATTCGGGCTGCGGAATGCCTCGGCAGTGTTCCAGAGAGTGATGGACGCGATTCTGAGGGGCGTGAGTGGAGCGGCATGCTACATAGATGACGTGATAATCTTCAGTCCGGATGCAGAGACTCACGTGCGAGATGTGGAGGCAACATTGACCGCGATCGAGGCAGCGGGTCTGACCTGCCATCCGGGAAAATGTCGCTTCGGGCACAGCAGCGTAGCTTACCTGGAGGGGACAGCGTAGCTTACCTGGAGGTGGCAAGAGGGGAGCTGAGCATCCAGAAAGCCAAAGTCAAAGTGCTGGACAGGGTGGAGAGGCCCAAGGACCGAACCAGCTTGCGCGCTCTGCTGGGGTTCCTTAACTACTACCGCAAATTCATAGAGGATTTCAGCAAGAAAGCGGCACCCTTGAACTTGCTGCTCAAGGAGGAGCAGAAGTGGCGCTGGGAGGAACCACAGGAGCAGGCGCTGCGAGGACTGATGGAGGCGGTGAAGTCGGGAGCAGTGCTGAAGCTGCCCGATGGGCAGCAGCCTTTCACGCTTTACACGGACTGGAGCAGCATCGGAATGGGAGCAGTTCTGAGTCAGGTGGAGAAAGGGGTGGAGAAGGTAGTAGCCTTCGCCAGCAGGACATGCAGCCCGGCAGAGGCTAACTACTCGTCCTACGAAGGGGAAGGACTGGCAGCTGTTTGGGCAGTGGGACACTTCAGGGTGTACCTGCAAGGGAGGCACTTCACCCTGGTGACGGACCACCAGCCACTGCTGTGGCTGATGCACAACCAGACTCTGACAGGTAGAAACGCACGGTGGGCAATGAAGCTGCAAGAATATGACTTCACAGTCAAGCACCGACCGGGCAAAACGATGCAGCACGTCGACGGGCTGTCAAGGAACCCACCTCGGGGAGAAGGCAGGCAAGGACCAGAGCAGGAACCGCCGTCAGCAGCGCTCACCGCCATGGTAAGGGAGCAGACGGGTGGACAGCAGCAGAGAGGGGCAGCAGACGTGTGGCAGGACCCTGAGACCTTAGCTTAGATCAGAGGAGAGACAGCAGAGGATGGGGGAGCTGGGGCAAGGGCACGAGCAAGGGGCCAACACTACAGGTGGTTCCAGGGACAGGTTCAGCTGCAGACCAAGGACGGGTGGAAAAGGGTGCCAGCACCAGCCGAGCGAGAAGGGATCATTCGAGAAGTCCACAGCAAATTGGGGCACTACGGGCCCTTGAGGACCCAGCAGCTGCTGCAGACAGGGTGGTGGTGGGCAGGAATGCGGAAGCAGGTGAAGGAATGGGTGGAGCGGTGTGAGCTGTGCTGCAGAAATAAGGCAAGCCTGCTGAAGAGCCAGGCCGAGCTTCAGCCCCTGGCCATAGTTGAGCTGGGATACAGGTGGTCGCTGGACATCGCAGGGGAGCTGCCGGTGTCGCGTAAAGGCAGGCGATACGTGTTGCTCATGATTGAGCATGTCAGCAAGTGGGCAGAGGCGAGAGCCCTGGTGGCCAAGACAGCGGAAGCGGTGGCGGAGGCATTTGAAGAAATGGTGCTGACAAGATTCGGGGCTTGCGGAGAAGTGCTTACAGACCAGGGGACGGAGTTCCAGGGAGTATTCAAAGAGCTTCTTGCAGAGAATGGGATCCAGCACCGTACGACATCGAGGTACCACCCCCAGAGTGACGGTCTCACAGAGCGATTGGTGCAGACGGTGAAGAAGGGCATTAGAGCCTATGGAGAGGCGAACAAGGCGGATTGGGACAAGAAGCTGCCATGGGTGATGGCGGGCTACCGATTCAGCAAGCAGGCCTCATTGAAGGACGTCTCGCCGTACTACCTGCTCTTCGGGAAGCAGCCTATCCTGCCAGTGGACGCACCCAGGCTGCTGGTGGACAGCGTCACGGCGAGAACGGCAGAAAAATGGGTGGCGCTGGCGGACGCCAGGGCCAAGTACTTGAAGAAGATGTTGCCCGCAGCCATGGAGAGCCTGAAGGTGGCGCAGCTGCGAGATATCCACCGCTACAAGCAGCGTCAGCTGAGCAAGATGCAAGGACAGGAACCAACAGTGGAGGAGGGGCAGGCCGTATACGTGCGAAGGGCGAAGCGAGATGGGCTGGATGTGGGCGTGTCACAGCAAAGGTGGGAGGTGAAGGAGGTGAGGGAGTCAGGGGTCCTAGTCCTGGAGGATGCACAGGGCAAACGGGTGATGGACCACGTTACCAACGTGGCACCAGCAGGGAAACATCAGAGGCAGACCAGCTATGCAGGTCCCATGACCAGGGCGAGGACGGCGGCAGTAGGTCATGGGAGGGGGCAAGGGCAGTAAGGAGCAATATACCAACAAGGAGAGACGGGACAGTCACTGGGTACTGGGGCCAGAGCACAAGCACACAGCAGAGTGAGAGAAGCACTGGGAGGGTTCACACTGAGTATGCACGGCAGAGCGAGAAGCAGAGACAGGACAAGGCGAGCAGGAGTTACGGGAGGTGGGTGAGATCCCGACAGCTGTCACATTTCTGTGAATGTGAAGGGTAAGGCGAGATGCAAGGGTGGTGTACATATTGTCTACATTGTATACATTGTATATAGCGGGGTGAGGTGGAGCGCGGACGGGAGGTGAAGGGTCAAGGGGGACTTTGCGAGGCAGGAGGAGAGGACCGTTGCCGAGCCGAAAGGGTAGTAGGTTTGCATGGGTGTGGATCAGGGCGGGACTGACGTGGAACGGAGCGAGGCAGCAAGGATCGGCAGCGGAACAAGGCAGGTGCAGCCTGGATGGCAACAACAGCGCCTGTGGTGGATGTGTGTACGAATGCATGCGTGTTTGTTTCCCGTGTGTGCAGGATTGCTCCAGGGAGCCAGCTGGAACAGGATGAGGCCAGCGGGAGGCTAGTAGGAGGGGTTGGGAGAGGAGGGCAAGAGGCAGCCTGGCTGAAAGTCTGCTCGTAAGGGTTTTCAACCTCTACAGAGCAGACTAGGAGAAGGAGGGTAGAGTTGATGCGCGGCGGAGGTGGAGCTGGTAGATTAGGTGGAACTCTGGTAGCAATCGCTATTGCTTGTATGTTTTCCAATTTACACGATTCGTTGCTGTAAACGTGAGCTAACGGTGTTGACAGGGAGACATAACAAGCAAGCATGCCGTAGGATCTACGCCTAGCTGAAGATTGGTGTGTGAGGGGGCTCGGAGCTCATCAAGGGCAGTAAGGAGCAATATACCAACAAGGAGAGACGGGACAGTCACTGGGTACTGGGGCCAGAGCACAAGCACACAGCAGAGTGAGAGAAGCACTGGGAGGGTTCACACTGAGTATGCACGGCAGAGCGAGAAGCAGAGACAGGACAAGGCGAGCAGGAGTTACGGGAGGTGGGTGAGATCCCGACATTGTTCCATTTCCATCCGACTTCATGCCAAATGCACGGGTCTGCACAACCTTCTCCTCTGCCTTCTGATGCGTTTGATCCATTCTCCCACATCTTGTCATCAGACCTCCCTCGTCTTTTTCTCCTCAGCCCTTCTCTTACTCACATCACGGCCTCGCCCCTCACGCTTCTGTGATTGGTTTTGTTTGTGGGTGGCACTGCACTGACCAATCCTCTTCTCCAATCTCTCCTCTAAATTTCTGTTTTTTTTCGCGAAGACAGAAAGACAGTTCAACGCAAGAATCAGTCAGTTATTTTCACGAGGGTCGTTTGGGGGGAGTGAGTGGATGATATGGCTGGTGAGAATGTGCTGAGTGCACTGAATGAGTTTATAAAGGAGGCGGTACTCGCAGCAGTGAGAGAGGAGCTGGCTGCATACAAGGAGGAGGTGAATGAGTTGCGGCAAAGGGAGGAGAGGAATGGGTCGATTGCTGCTGTGATGGAGGAGAGGGAGAGGGAGCTGGCAGCAATGAAGCAGGAGTTGGCTGAACACAAGCAGTCAACTAAATTGCAGTTTGAGGAGGCTGAGAAGAGACGAGTGGCGGAGATGAGGGAGATGAGAGGGCAGGTGGAGGAGAGGGAGGAGCTGGTTGCAGTGAGGAGGGAGGTTGCTGCAGTGAAGGAGGAGCTGGGGGAGCACAAGAATGCTGAAAGAGGAAGATAATCAGATTTGAGAGAGCTGAAAGGAGAGGCTGGGAATGGAGAGGATGAATTTAGAACGGAGTTAGCAAGCGAGAGGGATGAGAGGAGGGATGTGCAAGAGGTTGAGAGACGAGAAGCGGATTTGATTGGGATGAGAGGGATGGTGGAGCAGAAGGAGCGAGAGCCGGCTGCAGTGAAGGGGAAGCTGGCAGCAAAGAAGGATGCTGGCATGAAGACGGATGTTGACCTGCAAATCAGCCAGACTGGAGGCGATGAAAGGACAGCATGGCAGGTGAGTGCCGAGTGAACTGTTGCAGATTGCATGCTTTGTTTGTTAGGGCATGAGTTGTCATGATTGGCATTGCTTTTCATGGTTTTCATTCCCCCTTCATGTATCACCTCCAGCGAATCAAGTCAGCATCACAAGGAACGGCTCTGAACCTAGCGAAACTCAGCGGCCTCTCAGACGCCATGCTCGGGCATGTGTCCACCATGACGCATCTGACGAGCATTGATTTGGAATCTAGCTCAGGCTTCAGTGCAGAGGGCATCAAGCACCTCTATAGGCTGCCACGGCTGGAGATGCTAGACCTCCAACGCGCAGACATCTCAGACAGCTCCTTAAGAGGCATTGGTTCCTTGGTTACTCTCAAGTTCCTCTATCTCTATTGTACGAAGGTGACCGACGCTGGTCTGGCGCACTTGACTGCTCTGACCTCTCTCGAACAGCTGGGACTTGATCAATGCGAGAGAGAGTGACAAGTGCTGGCATGGTGCATGTTGGAAAGCTGACAGGACTTGAGGGTCTAGGGCTGCATGACACGGCAGTCACGGATGATGGGCTGCAGCAGCTGACTGCCCTGACCAAGCTGACCGATCTCCAGCTTCCAAATGGCAATGTGGTTTACAATGACAATGTGCTCAGGCGGATAGGCAGGTAGGGGGACAGGGGGTGACGGATGGAAGGGAGACACATGAGGGCAGGCAGAGTTGACTGTGACTGCTTGGAGGAGAGGCGTGGAGGCAAGGGGTGTGAAGAACTGGGGGAGTACATGCAGGAGTTCGCAAGGAGTGGGAGTAGTAGTGGTATCCACTTATCTCCCCCTGCATATGTATGCATGAGGATGCAACGGCTTGCTGGAGGGCAATATTTTTGTTGATCTGGGTTTCATGCTGCAGCATCGACCTGTGCCTATCACACTCGGCATCTTGCAGGGCCCCTCAAGCGAGATAGGGCAATTATGTGAGGGCAGGCCTGCCTGGATAGCCTTGGATGCTCTGTTCTGTAATGGATTAGCCGTTTTTCTATTCTATTGTCCCTCGAATAATGGAAGAATGTCTGATTCGTCTATATATGTTATCTCATCAAGGGGGCATGAACGCGGGTGCTCAAGGGCATTGTGTGTTGCCTGGGGGGGGGCAGGGCATGATGCCTGGCTGGGACAGAGGGCAGAAATGAAGTAGGAAACTGTCAGCATGAGTAAAGTGCAGAGGGCAGGCAGTGCGCTGCATCGCCCACCCATATTGTTCATTGCTTTTCTCCTATCTCTCATGGTTGCCATTAACTGGCATGCTGAAACCGTGCTCCCATACCCCCTTGCTCCCATACCCCCTTGCTCCCATAACCCCTTGCTCCCATACCCCCTTGCTCCCATACCCCCTTGCTCCCATGCACCCATGCTCCCATGCACCCATGCACCCATGCTCCCATGCACCCATGCTCCCATGCACCCATGCTCCTCCCATGCTCCCATGCACCCATGCTCCCGTGCTCCCATCGCTATGAATCGATGCATCACTGAGTCGTTACAGCAATTGCAAACGCCTTCTCAACTGACGGCAGGGAGGTAGGCATGCGAACGTGCAGGTGAAAGAAGCCAAGTATGAAATGCAAGTCAGTTTCTCCTTGCCTCTCTTTTTTCATCCAATGTCGCTAATCAAACCTTTCTCCTTTTGTGCCTTAGTTCAAACGCGCCCGGCATGGTGCTTCTGGTATTTATTTGTTGATAAAAAAAAAAACCTGAACACCGCTTTTTTGAGTGTGGTGCCATCAGCTATCGCCCACTCCCCCTTCCTTCTCTATGCCCTGACCCTCTTCGCCCTCTCCCTGGCTCCCACCCACTCCCTTCCACTTTCCCAACCAGCAGCACCTGTACTGTACTAACTGGGAGAGTTCCATCTCATCTCTACCACCGAGCATGGCGGCAGCATGGCCCCTCACGGCAGCATGGCCCCTCACGACAGCACACTGCTGGGCGGCGTGGCGGAGCCGCCGACTGCAGCAGCAGCAGCAGCAGCAGCAGCAGCAGGAGTGGTGGCGATGGAGTTGGCCAGCGGGGTGTGGAGGGAGGCAGGCAAAAGGGAGGCGTGAGGGAATAGCAAGGCAACAGAACACACTCGGCTTTTAGGTTCCATGTGAAGAATGGAGAGGTGCTGCTTGCAAGCTGATGCTGTGTCCGAAGGTATGTGCGAGCGTGTGAAGTGCTTTCTGACGAACCAGCATGAGTTTGCTTATTCACTCGTAATCGCTCCCCTCCACCGTTGCTGTGAACACTGTACAATGTTGTGGGCATGTCTTCAGGCGGTGAATTGCACTGCAGGGTCACATGTCTCGCTCCAGCAGCACACCTATGGGATTTCTTCACAAAAGAATTGCCGCATTCCCGACTCTTTGCCACCACATTCATTCTCCTCCCCATCCATCCCCTCCTCGCCTTTCTTGAAGCACTTTGCTTTCTCTACAACAGCTCATTCACGACTGTCTCACTTTCTTCCAATCTTTACAGGTGTGTGCATGGTCCACCAAATCATGTGTGAAGCGGCACAAGGAGCTGACCACACCACGAACCCCCTCCCACCATGACAGCTGAGACAAGCTACCCATCCCTCACCACCCCTCCCTTCCCCTTCCTTCCCCGGTCTTATTCCCATTTGTGCCCTTCCTATGTGGCACTTTTTCTTCCATTCTCTCATGTCTTCTCCCTTGTCCCCCCTCTTTCCTTCCCTCCCTTCCTGGTGCCCTGGTTTCCCCTGCGCACACCCAGCATCCCTCGCCACCCCATTCAGCTCCTCCAATGCCTGTGCTTGTCCCCCCTATCTTCTCCTCCTTCCCCCCAGCCAGCTCTCAGCAGTTTGGTCATATCGGCATGCTATCCCCTTCATCCCATCATGCTGTTCCCCTTGGCAACATACATAAACCTCATGCACCAACCAAGTGTTCTTCCTCCCTATCATGGATCCTCCTTCTCTTCCCACCATCACCTTGATCCGCTCCAATTCCAGCATTACAGCATAACCATCGCCTGACCTTTTCACCCGCTTACAACACCTTTCACTTCTCTCGCCATCTCCTGCATCAGGACTGCCTGGTAACACCCAACCCAATCCCCCCTCCATCCTCCCTCGCTCCCCTCAGTTCCCCCATACTCCCTCCTCCCTCTGCTCCTTGGTGGTTGGTTCATGATGGTGGCAGCAGACAGGCACCCCCAACCCCTCCTTCCCTTTCCCGACCCACCTTCTCCCTCCCCCCCCCCCCCCCCCCCATTTCTCCCGCTTTGACTCCTTGCAGCTGCTTCCAGCATTGGCCTCAACATGATCGCATGGCATGCAGGGAAGTGAGGCTGCCAGGGAGGTGATGTGTGATGCTTGCAGCACGGGCAGATCTAGCATGGATGGACTGGGAATCATCATCACTTCAGAAGGTAAAACTGGTGGGAGTATCGTATGTCGAGCCTTATCAGCGGCCAGCTCTGTGTGCTTTAGATGTTTCTTTTCAAATGTTGCCATCTGCAGTCATCATACAGCAGCACTTCCTCCCGTAGCAGGTGCTCCTTGAGAGGTGGTGTAACAAGGATTCAATTCAAGGGAACACTGCTACGCATACTGAGAAATTTTCAAGGGAGCAAGATTTCAGCTCCTGCATGCCTCTTGAAATCATCGCTTCCAGGTTCAGGAATTCAGCTTGTCTCACAGTATTGCCATCTGCAGCCATTCACAGCAGCGCTGCTTCTTCCGTAGCAGGTGCTTCTCGAGAGGTGGTGTAAGAAGCACCAAGGGCCAAAATGTGAAGAGGGAAACAGCAATTTCCGTTTGGGACACTCCAAGCCCGGTGGCTGGTTGGGTTGAAGGTCAGGTGCACTGCACACCAGGTCCAGCATGCATCAAAGCTGACCTTTTCCCTCCCATGCACTCACGTGCCCACTGCCCCTCTTCGTTACCTCTGCCCTCTCCAATGCCAACCATCCAGCCAGCAGAATGCACTCGGAGCATATCCTTCTGTCTGTCAACCAACCAATCTGAACCCTGAACACAGGGTTTTTTGCCCTGACAGGTCAGGATTGATTTCTGAAAAAGCCCTGAACATACAGGAAGGCTTCGAAAATTTGCCCTGACAAATCAGGGCATTTTTTACGATTCCGGAAAGGTGCCCTGAGGCCTCAGGGTGCCCCAAATCCTAGCACGGGCCCTGTCCCCAGCTTCCTTGCCTCGCCTCCCCCCTTCTGCCCCGCCTCCCCTCTCCCCTCTCCCCTTCCCCTTTCCCGTCCACCCTGCTGATGACCGCTTCCCCCTCCATCATAAAAAAAATGCCAGCCAAGCAGGGCCTCAGAAGTCAGCGAAAAAGGCTGATTTAGGTTAAAAAGGCTGAGATTTTAGACCTTTTTTAGAACTGAGGCTGATTTTCCAGCAATTTGGTGTAAAGAAACAGGAAATTTTACTAGATTTGTAGTGTAAAATGGCATAAAATGGCTGATTTGTCTGATTATCAGCAAAACGCTTTGTACCAACTCTGATTTTTCAGCCTAGCCTAAAACGAATCTGAGGCCCTGTCTCTATGCAGCTCCCCTCATGCACACAGTGGTATCTTGCCCAACCAACCATGCACCTGCTTCTGTCCAACTGCAAGGCACGAGCTCCACTCCACACGACCATTCTCCAACGCTCTGCAGCATGCAAGTTGAGCCGTGCACAACCACCATTTCATGCCTCATTGATGTACACCCTTGCCTCCATGCCTCTCCTCCGTATTCCCTAGATTGCTACAGTCTAATCTCATCTCCCTCACTCACCTCAACCACTCTCTACCACCCTACGTGCCTATCCACCTGCACACGTCTTCAGTAAGATAGAGGTTCCATTTTGGTAGGCGGACAGTCTGCAGCTTTCTAAGGGCAGTCAGCTGAAGCAGCCCATCATCAGTGACTGCCGTGCCCCACAGGTCAAGCTCCTTAAGCCCTGTCAGCCTCCCCACATGCACCATGCCAGCACTTGTCACACCCTTGCATGCGTCAAGGTTCAAATCTTTGAGAGAGGAGAGACCTGTCAGCTGCTGCAGCCCATCATCTGTCACTGTGGCGCCCGTTAACCAAAGTTCCTCAAGCCTTGTCAGCCTCCCCACATGCACCATGCCAGCACCTGTCACACCCTTGCATTCCAAAAGCCACAGCACTTTGAGAGAGTTAAGACCTGTGAAGTGCGCCAACCCAGCATCGGTCACATTTGCCTTACCGAGATAGAGCCGCTCGAGACTGGTCAAGGACCCAATGCCTTCCAAGGCACTGTCTGAGACGTCTGTGCTGGTGAGGCTAAGTACCCGTAGCCGTGGCAGCCTGTAGAGGTGCTTGATGCCCTCTGCACTGAAGCCTGAAGTATTGAACAAGATAATGCACGTCAGGTGGGTCATGGTGGAGACATGGGCGAGCATGGCGTCTGAGACACCTTTGAGATACTTGAGGTGCAGGGGGTGCTTCTTTGCTGACTTGACTGCCTGGTGAAAACGAGTGAAGAGGGAAAATATGGAAAGGAAAGGGTTGATTGCGGTGAGAAGAAAGAGCTAGCAAGCGATGCATGCACCATGAAACAGTTCCCTCAGCACTGACCTGCCATGCCGTCTTCTCATCGCCTTCACTCTCGCTGATTTGCAGATCAACATCCATCTCCCACTGCATGCGAGCATCCAACTGCATGCGAGCATCCTTCAATCCAGCCATCTTGCCCTTCACTGCTGCCAACTTCCCCTTCACTACTCCCAGCTCCCTCTCCCTCTCCTCCACCTGTCGTCTCAGCTCAATCAAACCCGCTGCTCTTTCCTGCTCACCCTCCTCCAGTTCCACCTTTAATGCTGCCAGCTCCCTCTCCCTCTTCTCCATCTGCCCTCTCATCTCCCTCATCTCAGCCACTCGACTGCTCTCACCCTCCTCCAACTGTAATGAAGTGGACTGGTTGTGCCCACCCACCCCCCCCTGTACTTCACCCACCTCCCCCTGTACTTCACCCACCTCCCCCTTCACCTCACCCATCTCCCCCTTCACCTCACTCACCTCTCCCTTCACCTCACTCACCTCTCCCTTCACCTCACTCACCTCTCCCTTCACCACTCCCACCTCCCCCTTCAGTGCGGCCACATCCCCCATCACCCCCCTCACCTCCCCCTTCACCTCCCCCTTCTCCTCACCCGTCTCCCGCTCCACCTCTCCCTTCACCCCCCCCTTCACCTCCCCCTTCACCTCCCCCTTCACCTCCCCCTCCACCTCCCCCTTCACCTCCCCCTTCACCTCCCCCTTCACCTCCCCCTTCACCCCCCCCTTCACCCCACCCATCTCCCTCTCCTCCTCCTGCCCTATCATCTCTAACACTTGTCTCCTCTCACCCTCCTCAAGCTGCAAAGTAGTTGACTGCTTGTGCTCAACCACCTCCCCCTTCACCTCACCCATCTCCCCCTTCACTGCAACAATCTCCTCCCTCATCTCTCGCATATCTGAGTCTCTCCTCTCAGCCACATCCCGTTTCTCAAGCATCGCACCTTTGAGATCAGCCAACTCCCTCCTCACTGCTGCCAACTCTCTCTCCCTCTCCTTCATCACAGCAGCCATTGCCTCGTTCCTCTCCTCCGCAACAGTCAGCATGTGCCGCAGCTCATTCACCTCCTCCTTGCGTGCGGCCAGCTCCTCTCTCACCGGTGCTAGCACCGCCTCATTGACCAAACCATTTAGTAAACTCATCGCTCTCTCAGCAGCCATATCCTCCACTCACTTCCTTCACACATCCCACTTTCGATGACCGAACCCTCAAATGACTTTTTCACTGCAGACTTGTGAAAGCAAGCAGACACGTGCTGCCTGAGAAGGGCAGGATCGAGATTCATGATTGAAAAAACAGAAACGCAAAAACAAAAAGGGAGAAGGGGCATGGTCAGTCAACGAACAAGATAGAATTTTGCGGGCGTGAGGGATGAGACAGTGACGAGAGGAACAAAGAAGATAAGGAGCAGCAGAAGAGGGAGACTTGACTTGACTGGCACACAGAGGGCTGGCACACAGAAGGCAGCAGTATGTACCGCTTTTCTGTTCTTTTGGATGCTGTCATCCTCCTGTACAAGAATGAGGCGCCGCTGGTTGGAGTTTTGCAAGGAACAAACCAGGGTTGGTTTGGCCATTGGAAATAGTGAGGTGACGTGTAGCAGGGAGCCAGGCCTGACTCAGCCATTGCTCGGCCATAGGCCATAGTAGTGGTATAAGACAAGAGAATCAAGATGCTTGGGAGCGGTTAGTGCTGGTAAAGAAAGCGGTTGGAATTGTTATTGCGATAATTTGGAGGTTCAGAACTAGCTACTGTTGAGACAATGTGTGACAGCTACAGAAACCATCTCATTCGTAGGTGGGTGGTTGGTCAGAGGCTACGCCAGTCACAGGTTAGGTCACTCACACAGTAAACTACTCACAAGCTAGGCCAGACAGATGCTAGGTCACTAACATCAACAACAAGCTTGGGCAGTCACCAGTTATGGCACCGATGAGGTCAGTCACAATTTACTTGTGGCACTCATAAGTTAATTAGGGGAGTCACAAGTTACTTACAACAATTACGGCACTTGGTTAGGGAAGTCGGAAGTTGGAGCAATCGCGAGAAAGGGTCAGAAGCTTTGTCTATCAGGAATTGGGACACGTGCTTGGTAAGTCACTGACTAGGTTAGTCATAGGAAGTTCGACCATGGCCTTCACCTTCCACTAGCGAGGTCAGACCTAAGTTAGAAAATACGCTCAGGGAGCTGAACACAGTGTAAATGCATTTGCCATTGACGCAATACTCACTACGCTCGACACGACAATATGGATTACAGTACACAAAACGTACAGTACTCACTATGCGAATCGGCATAAAAACTCAAAACACTTACATTCAGATCGTTTGCTTTCTTCCCAAGTACATGTGTTGACCACCTCAACCACACCTTAATGCATGAACCTTACCCAACATTTTCTGTCCTCAAAATTTGCTGCACTCCTTCTCTCGCACAGATTTCTACAACCACACCTACTACCCCTCTTCCTCCGCCTTTTTCCTCCCCCACCTAATCTGTGCACGTAGACTAGCAGTATTCCTGTCAAATCAAGAAGAAACTTCAGTGCTGCTAGCCATATCCGAATCTGAAACAAACATAAAATCGTAACAGATCTGAACCGTCATGAGTGATATAAAATCATCTTTACAGGATAGAACGTTCCAAATTCGTAACGAGCAAGGCCGGTTGGGGTCTAGGTCGGTCAAAGGCAAAGCTCCTCCCAAGATGGGCCAGTCGAGGCTAGCTTCCCCACAAGGTAGGTCAGCCAGGGCAGGGCCTATGCTAGTCATTCAGAGGCCAGGTTGGTCACCAGCTGGCTGGGTAAGCCAAGCTAGGTCACTCACGGATTAGGTCAGTCGGAGGCTATGACAGTCACAGGCTAGGTCAGTCAGTGACAATTCAAATCAGTCTGAGACTCAGTCAGTCAGAAACAATGTACTCATAAATTTAGTCACGCACGGGATAAGACAACCACAAACAGAGACACTCACTATATGCTAGGTCATGGCATTGGTGGTTTCCACGCTAGGTCAAGCACAAGCTAGGTCTAACACAAATCAGGTCAGTGATAGGCTAGGATGGTTACATCACATGTTAGGTCACTTACGGGCTGAGTCAGACACAAGCTCAGTTAATAGTCATGGGCCAACAGTGGGTCATTCACAACAACCCGAGTCAATCACATGCAAGCCTGCGAGGCCAACCACTGGGCAGGTTAGATACAAACAGCAAATCAAGTTTTGACTTGACTCGCCCAAGTCATGTGTGTCAAGTGGAGTCAGTTCGATTGATTTGTTTGTTTAAATAAAAACGGGTCGATGCGAGTCGGCTAAAGTCTAGCTAGCCAATGTATCGCCAAGTTGGTGACTCAATAAGATGCATCTGACTCGTTGCTAGTCGAGTAGGTTGCGTTGCCGCAACCCAATTTCTGCACTTACCTTGAGGTCAATCAACAACAACTTCTCGGGAAACTGAATCTTGCAAATTTGCGATCCAATCTCCAACTTAGCTCGTCTTTATCTCGCCAAACAATCCGGCTTGAATCGCTTTCCTTAGTGCCCGGTCCACCTTAGCTAGTCTTGTCTTCACTCCAAGCGATTCGCTTTAGGTCTATACTACTTAGTGCTGCCACGCAACCCGCTTGGGTCATTTGTGCGCAGCACCGTCAAGAAATCTGTTTCAGCTCGTAGCAATTCTTCACTGAAACAATAAATCTTCTCTAACGTTTCATCGGCATTCTATAAGCGACTTACCAGGTTGAATCAATCTTGACACCCAAGTAGATTCGAGTCAGGGGGCAACGTTTGACTCGACTCGACATAACCCAACGTTACTCGAGCTGAGACTGAGCCAACTCGACTCGCGCTGTGCACATGTCTGAGAGCCACAGGCTAGGTTAGTCACAAATTATTCCAATCGCAATCTATTCCGTCAAGGTAGGCCAGTCACGGCAAGATCAATCAGGTTGGGCCACTCACCGCCTAGGTTGTCACGCGCTGAGATGGGCCCACAGGCTAGGTCGGCCAGAGCCTGGAAGAGTGACAGCGTGAGTGTCTGAACCAGGGCGGAGAAACACAGCACAGGAAGAGACCGGGCAACAATGAGAGCCTAACCAAGGCTAAGTCACTCTAGCGTGGGTCAATCAGAGCCTAGGTCAATCAGAGCCTAGGTCAACCAGAACTTAGGTCAATCCGGGACTAATTCAATCCGAGACTAGGTAAGTGACAGCATGGTGAATGAGGCTAGACAAAAAAGTAGCAACACGGAAAGGACCCAGGTTAACAATGCGGTTGGTCACAATCTGAGTGCGGTCACAGGCTTGGATTGCCTGGGTGAGTGGTAGCGGGAGTGGCTGAACCAGCACGGAATTAACAATGCTACGAGAGGCAAGAATATTATAAGGTGTCAGCATGCATCAAGGTGGTCGTAGTTTCTTGGCGGTGTGCAAGCAAGGAATTCGCTATGTAACATTTAGTTGGCCCGCTCTGATCATCAGAAAATACGATCACCATGATTCGTAGGCTGTGAGCCTCAGGCTCGCACGCAATGCGGACCGCCGACGGGGGAAAAGATTGGGAGGCTTACCTCTGATTAGGGTTTCGGCGCGTTTCCGCGGCTCTTGAAGCGACTCAGCAGCGGCGCGAGAAATTTCTGCAGTGCGTGCTGCGTGGTGGCGAAGCTAACGATTTCGAGAGTGCTGTGAGGGAAGGAGAGACGGGCGGGCCAGGAAGAAGGAAAGTGACGAGCGGACACGATCCGCCGAAGGGCTACGAGGAATCGGCGTCGCCGTTCGTACTAATTCGTAGAGGCGATTCGGGTCACCTTTTCTCGCGGTGGGAATTTTGCAGATTCACGATGTACATCTACCGTGGTCTGATTGAAAGAAGCTTGTTGACACATGCTTGGAGTGGGAACGAAACGGGATCATCACCCAGCACTCAAATCTCGACTCGAGTTGTCACGGTTGCCTTTCAAAACACAGCCAATTGCGTTTCTTAGCAGTTACCACTGCAAATAGTTCGTAATCGTTCTCAGTTCGTCCGAGAAAGTGCCTTGATTAGTACGAATTGAGTCGCCTCTAGTCTCGATGGCACTGCTCCTGCCGTCACCTGTTACACACTCGACATTTACTTTCGCTCAGGTGACGACATTTGCGCTGCACATTCAGCATCTTTTGTACACTCTTCGTCGAATCAGGTGAGGATGGTAACCCAGCTTCAACGAAGGAAACTACGAGAGCCGAATTTCTGTGGATACTAGGCTGCTCCTGCTTTCATACTGTCAAGCACACACGACAGGACGCGACGCTCACATGCCATCGCAGGATCGTGGTCGCCACAGAAGCGCTACTACTACTAGTTATCGCAAGCGCGCCGCGTAGCAGCTACCAGCCATCCTGCTACTAGTAACCCTCCTCTCGTCACGCTACCTTTCTCGTCTTTTTCCCCCTCCTTCAGAGTGAAATTCACAACTGCGTTCTCGCTTCTATGTTTCCAAGCCCATAGTATTCTCTCCAGTAAGATTCACATCGCGCGTTTCAGATCGTTTGGCGTGTCCGGCGCCTGTTGCTGAGCTTAGAGCCAAGTGCATGCGCTAGTCTCAGCACGACAGTTTACTCTTCGAAACCCTAGAACAGGTAAGGCTGGTCCCGTGATAGCATTCATTTCGGCTTGCACACCAAAAACCATCTCAATCATTGTTTTCTTCCCTTCGCCAATGTCTCGAGCCTCGAATGCTCCCGACCCTCTGCTCCTCTCATTCCACGTTACCAGAGCGTAGGGCGCTGAATGGAAGCCGTGTTACCAGTCAATCAGTCATGAAATCACGCTTCCATGCTCTTATTAGGCATTGCCGCGTAAAACATTTAGCCACGCTGAGCGTCAATCGAGAATTCACTGGCATGTGACGTTTGCGTTGTGGGGCAAACTGAACATAAGCATTGCCGTGTGACTGACGTTTTTGCAAAGTGGCATTATAACGCATCCGTGTCTTCTTGCTTTCCTACTTCAATTACTTCCGTTACAGTCGCACAGTGTTTATTTCTTGTGTGCGTGTCCCTGTTTACCTCCATGTGTTCGCTTCCAGGGAGGCGGCTAAGTCCAACCGGCAGTTATGGCTATCGAGAGGGAGGCAAGCGTGATAAGTGAGGCAGTAAATGGACTGTTCGGATTAGTGAGAGGGGAGTTGGCAGCATTGAGGGGGGAGATGACAGTGGTCAGGGAGGAGGTGGCCCGACAGAAGGAGCTCGTGGTGATACTGAATGAGAGAAATCGGGTTCTGGAGAATGAGATGAATGAGCTGAGGCGTGCACTGGTTGTCGTGGGCGAGAGGAGTGTGGCGACTGCTGCTGTGGTGGGTGAGAGGGAGAGGGAGTTGGCAGCAACGAAGGGGGAGCTGACCGCAGTGAAGGGGGAGCTGACTTCAGTTAAAGAGGAACTTTTCATAGTGAAGAGGGATTTGGCTGAACTTAAGAATGCTGACATGAGAAGAGAGTTGGACATGAGAGTACTGCGAGAAGAAAGAAGGAAGTTGGAGCAAGACATCAGAGCGGAACTGGCAATGAAGAGGGAGGAGAGGAGAAAGGAGGTGCAGGAGTTGGATTGGCCACGTGTCATGGACGAATTGGCAGCCTGCAAGGAATGGCAGAGGATACAAGAGTCGAAGCTGAACGTTGAGCTCGAGATTAGCCAGAGTGAAGGCGATCAGAAGATTGCATGGCAGGTAAGTGCCTTAGTGAACAATTTGATAGAAAATGCATTTTTTGCTCTTGTTCACAATGATAACTCATTTGTGTCATTCATTCCCTCTTCATCCATCACCTCCAGCGAATCAAGGCAGCATCACAACGAACTGATCTGCACCTGAAGAATCTCCACGGCCTCTCAGACGCCATGCTCGCCCATGTGTCCACAATGACGCATCTGAAGAGCATTAACTTAACCTCTACATCAGGCTTCAGTGCAGAGGGCATCAAGCACCTCTACAGGCTGCCACGGCTGGAAATGCTACTTCTCGACCACACAGACGTGTCAGACAGAGCCTTGGAAGGCATTGGGTCCTTGACCAGCCTTAAGAAGCTCTATCTCTGGAAGACCAACGTGAGTGATGCTGGGCTCGTGCACTTAACAGCTCTGTCCTCTCTCAAAGAGCTGAACCTTTCCGAATGCAAGTGTATGACTGCTTCTGCCATGGTGGAAGTGCGAAGGCTGTCAGGGCTCCAGGGACTTTGGCTACATGAGACGGCAGTTACAGATGATGGGCTGCATCAGCTGACGGGTCTCTTCTCTCTCAAGGTGCTAAGCGTTTCCAACTGCAAGGGTGTGACGGATGCTGGCATGGTGCATGTTGGGAGGTTGATAGGGCTTGAGAGGCTTGATGTGGAGCATTCGTCAGTAACGGATGATGGGCTGCAGCAGCTGACTGCCCTGACCAAGCTGACATCTCTCTATACGCCAGAAGGGGTTCAGCTTTATGACGATGATGTGCGCAGGCGGATAGGCATGTAAGGTGGCCGGAAGTGATGACGGAAAGGGAGGACGTGTCTGTGTCTTGGTAGGGACGACTGAGGAGGGGAGGAGTTCATCCGGAGGAGTCAGGAATGGAATGGTGGTCGTGCACGGTTCAACTTGCATGCTGCAGAGTGCCGGGGGATGGTGTGTGGAGTTTGTGCTTTGCAATTGGACAGAGGAAGATGCAGGGCTGGTTGGTCAAGAGACCACCGTGTGCACGAGGGAAGCTGCATAGAAAATGCCTGCCTGGCACTTCTTATACTTGAGGGGAAGCGGTTAGAAGCAGGGCGGACAGAGAAGGGAAACGGGAGGTAGGGGAGGCAGGAAAGCTGGGAACAAGGGCGAGGAAGATGCAGTGAGGGAGGTGAGCATGGTGGGGGAAGCGGCAGTGGCAGCAGTGGCGGCAGCAGCCGTGGCGGCAGCAGTGGTGGTAGCAGCGGTGGCAGCGGCATCCGTGGCGGCAGCAGCAGTGGCGTGCGAGGGTTGGGATCAGGGGTGCAATGGCTGGAATGGCTGCATGAAGGGAGCTGCATAAGAAATGCCTGGTTGTTGAGTGCAGGGTGTACAAATTTATTGACAGAGGAGAGGGTATAGCGTGTATGGTGGAGCTTGAATGGCAAGCCTCATGCCATGTGCATTGCTTTTGCTGCTTCAAGGAAACTGGGTGTGCAATTAGTATTTGTGCTCGCAGATAAATGAGTAGCTGTGATCGCAGATAGGTGGGATGGGTGGCGAGTGTGATGATGGGGGAATGGGGGATTAAGCAACACCGGTATTGAGGAAGAGAGGCTTGTATGCAATGAGTGTGGATAGAGTGGAGGTGCGTGCAAGGTGGTGGCTGGGTGATGCGTTGCTTGTGCACAGCTGGGGGTAAGCTAATGGTTGTGAACTTGTGCTTTGATCTCAACAATGTGTACAACTGTGTAGGTGACATAAACAGATGCATGCGATTGAGGTTCAATTAGTCTCCCTCCTGACGTTGGTTGTAGGATAAAATGCTTTGTTGTCCACTTTAATATGCTTCAAACTTTTTCAACTATCTTATATCATCTATACATTTGTATCAGGCATGTGCAGCAGGGTTTAGGGTAGGGGTTGAATTGAAGGCACACATTCTGCTGCAGCACCCAACCACATGGCCCATCACTGGCATGCAGGAGGCAAGTAAAAAATAAAAATAGTTCAAAATCAAGTCAGTATGGCTCCATGGTTTAGCCATGTGATGTTTGGTTTCAAAATGAATGTCTGGCATTTGGTATACCGTAAGACAACAGAATCCCAACCGCCGCCACAATTGATAAGGCTTGAAACGATGTATGGGTTGAGGTATGGGACTAGGTAATGGATAAGGCTTGTGAATGTCGACGAGGGGGAGACAATGGTAGTGGAACCGTTGATGATTGAAGCGGTGTTGAGCGAGGACTTATATGGGTGGGGTTGAAGTGACAGGTGCGATGGTTGAAGCTGGGTGAGTGGAGAACTTGGAGATGGTAGAACGAAAGACAAGGGTGGAAAGTGATATGGAAAGGGTATACGGGATGGAAAATGGAGGGGTTGAGAAGTACGGGAGGAGGTTAGGTGAGGGGGAGGAGGGGAATGGGGAACGGGAGGAAGAAAATGGAGGGGCGGGGGAACGGGAGGAAGAAAACGGAGGGGCGTAGGTGATTGGAAGGATCTATGCGACAGTGGTGATGATATGACAAACGAGGAGTCTGGTGTGTGTGTGTGAACGGTTAAGATGGTGTTCCAAGGATTGTAAACATCCACATTTGACAAGGAATAAACTCAGACATGCACTTAACCTGGCAGGAACTCAAACATTTCTTGAAGTGCCTAAAATTTGGGGAAGACTCGGCTACAGCAGTCCAGCCGGTAAGAAGTTGCCCCAATAGAGCAGTTGCCCCAATAGAGCAGTTGCCCCAATAGAGCAGTTGCCCCAATAGAGCAGTTGCCCCAATAGAGCAGTTGCCCCAATAGAGCAGTTGCCCCAATAGAGCAGTTGCCCCAATAGAGCAGTTGCCCCAATAGAGCAGTTGCCCCAATAGAGCAGTTGCCCCAATAGAGCAGTTGCCCCAATAGAGCAGTTGCCCCAATAGAGCAGTTGCCCCAATAGAGCAGTTGCCCCAATAGAGCAGTTGCCCCAATAGAGCAGTTGCCCCAATAGAGCAGTTGCCCCAATAGAGCAGTTGCCCCAATAGAGCAGTTGCCCCAATAGAGCAGTTGCCCCAATAGAGCAGTTGCCCCAATAGAGCAGTTGCCCCAATAGAGCAGTTGCCCCAATAGAGCAGTTGCCCCAATAGAGCAGTTGCCCCAATAGAGCAGTTGCCCCAATAGAGCAGTTGCCCCAATAGAGCAGTTGCCCCAATAGAGCAGTTGCCCCAATAGAGCAGTTGCCCCAATAGAGCAGTTGCCCCAATAGAGCAGTTGCCCCAATAGAGCAGTTGCCCCAATAGAGCAGTTGCCCCAATAGAGCAGTTGCCCCAATAGAGCAGTTGCCCCAATAGAGCAGTTGCCCCAATAGAGCAGTTGCCCCAATAGAGCAGTTGCCCCAATAGAGCAGTTGCCCCAATAGAGCAGTTGCCCCAATAGAGCAGTTGCCCCAATAGAGCAGTTGCCCCAATAGAGCAGTTGCCCCAATAGAGCAGTTGCCCCAATAGAGCAGTTGCCCCAATAGAGCAGTTGCCCCAATAGAGCAGTTGCCCCAATAGAGCAGTTGCCCCAATAGAGCAGTTGCCCCAATAGAGCAGTTGCCCCAATAGAGCAGTTGCCCCAATAGAGCAGTTGCCCCAATAGAGCAGTTGCCCCAATAGAGCAGTTGCCCCAATAGAGCAGTTGCCCCAATAGAGCAGTTGCCCCAATAGAGCAGTTGCCCCAATAGAGCAGTTGCCCCAATAGAGCAGTTGCCCCAATAGAGCAGTTGCCCCAATAGAGCAGTTGCCCCAATAGAGCAGTTGCCCCAATAGAGCAGTTGCCCCAATAGAGCAGTTGCCCCAATAGAGCAGTTGCCCCAATAGAGCAGTTGCCCCAATAGAGCAGTTGCCCCAATAGAGCAGTTGCCCCAATAGAGCAGTTGCCCCAATAGAGCAGTTGCCCCAATAGAGCAGTTGCCCCAATAGAGCAGTTGCCCCAATAGAGCAGTTGCCCCAATAGAGCAGTTGCCCCAATAGAGCAGTTGCCCCAATAGAGCAGTTGCCCCAATAGAGCAGTTGCCCCAATAGAGCAGTTGCCCCAATAGAGCAGTTGCCCCAATAGAGCAGTTGCCCCAATAGAGCAGTTGCCCCAATAGAGCAGTTGCCCCAATAGAGCAGTTGCCCCAATAGAGCAGTTGCCCCAATAGAGCAGTTGCCCCAATAGAGCAGTTGCCCCAATAGAGCAGTTGCCCCAATAGAGCAGTTGCCCCAATAGAGCAGTTGCCCCAATAGAGCAGTTGCCCCAATAGAGCAGTTGCCCCAATAGAGCAGTTGCCCCAATAGAGCAGTTGCCCCAATAGAGCAGTTGCCCCAATAGAGCAGTTGCCCCAATAGAGCAGTTGCCCCAATAGAGCAGTTGCCCCAATAGAGCAGTTGCCCCAATAGAGCAGTTGCCCCAATAGAGCAGTTGCCCCAATAGAGCAGTTGCCCCAATAGAGCAGTTGCCCCAATAGAGCAGTTGCCCCAATAGAGCAGTTGCCCCAATAGAGCAGTTGCCCCAATAGAGCAGTTGCCCCAATAGAGCAGTTGCCCCAATAGAGCAGTTGCCCCAATAGAGCAGTTGCCCCAATAGAGCAGTTGCCCCAATAGAGCAGTTGCCCCAATAGAGCAGTTGCCCCAATAGAGCAGTTGCCCCAATAGAGCAGTTGCCCCAATAGAGCAGTTGCCCCAATAGAGCAGTTGCCCCAATAGAGCAGTTGCCCCAATAGAGCAGTTGCCCCAATAGAGCAGTTGCCCCAATAGAGCAGTTGCCCCAATAGAGCAGTTGCCCCAATAGAGCAGTTGCCCCAATAGAGCAGTTGCCCCAATAGAGCAGTTGCCCCAATAGAGCAGTTGCCCCAATAGAGCAGTTGCCCCAATAGAGCAGTTGCCCCAATAGAGCAGTTGCCCCAATAGAGCAGTTGCCCCAATAGAGCAGTTGCCCCAATAGAGCAGTTGCCCCAATAGAGCAGTTGCCCCAATAGAGCAGTTGCCCCAATAGAGCAGTTGCCCCAATAGAGCAGTTGCCCCAATAGAGCAGTTGCCCCAATAGAGCAGTTGCCCCAATAGAGCAGTTGCCCCAATAGAGCAGTTGCCCCAATAGAGCAGTTGCCCCAATAGAGCAGTTGCCCCAATAGAGCAGTTGCCCCAATAGAGCAGTTGCCCCAATAGAGCAGTTGCCCCAATAGAGCAGTTGCCCCAATAGAGCAGTTGCCCCAATAGAGCAGTTGCCCCAATAGAGCAGTTGCCCCAATAGAGCAGTTGCCCCAATAGAGCAGTTGCCCCAATAGAGCAGTTGCCCCAATAGAGCAGTTGCCCCAATAGAGCAGTTGCCCCAATAGAGCAGTTGCCCCAATAGAGCAGTTGCCCCAATAGAGCAGTTGCCCCAATAGAGCAGTTGCCCCAATAGAGCAGTTGCCCCAATAGAGCAGTTGCCCCAATAGAGCAGTTGCCCCAATAGAGCAGTTGCCCCAATAGAGCAGTTGCCCCAATAGAGCAGTTGCCCCAATAGAGCAGTTGCCCCAATAGAGCAGTTGCCCCAATAGAGCAGTTGCCCCAATAGAGCAGTTGCCCCAATAGAGCAGTTGCCCCAATAGAGCAGTTGCCCCAATAGAGCAGTTGCCCCAATAGAGCAGTTGCCCCAATAGAGCAGTTGCCCCAATAGAGCAGTTGCCCCAATAGAGCAGTTGCCCCAATAGAGCAGTTGCCCCAATAGAGCAGTTGCCCCAATAGAGCAGTTGCCCCAATAGAGCAGTTGCCCCAATAGAGCAGTTGCCCCAATAGAGCAGTTGCCCCAATAGAGCAGTTGCCCCAATAGAGCAGTTGCCCCAATAGAGCAGTTGCCCCAATAGAGCAGTTGCCCCAATAGAGCAGTTGCCCCAATAGAGCAGTTGCCCCAATAGAGCAGTTGCCCCAATAGAGCAGTTGCCCCAATAGAGCAGTTGCCCCAATAGAGCAGTTGCCCCAACAGAGGAATTGCCCCCGTAGCAAGAATCAGCAGCACTAAGAGCGCCCCCAATGAATTGAGGCATGTGTAAGTTGATACAGTTGTCGAGCTGACGGGAGACAGGAGGGGTGGGGAAGAGGGGAGGGGGGAGAAGAGCGGCCGGGAGGAAGGGGGGAAGAAGGAAAGAGATATGGTTGAAAACTGGGGAGTGGGAAGAAGGTCGCACAGAGGTGTGGCATGTGCGAGTCAATGCCGATGTCTAGATGGTGTGGAGCAAAGGTAAGGGGGGCAGGGGGGAGGATAGGGAGGAGGGGAGACGAGACACGAATGAAGAGGGGAGTAAGGCCGATAGTGTGCCCATCTTCTCGGTTTCACCGAATGAATCACAAGTCGCAACAACAGATGCAGGCCGTCAACTATGCCGCTGAACACTGCCCCAACCCCACCACCGCCCATCAACCCCCTTTCATATTCACCTGGCGGCCCTCTCTGCTGCAGCAACGTAGAGTGTGGCTGTGACAAGGCAGAACGGCACTGGTTGTCGATCTTGGACTGTTCCCAGGTGAATGTGATGAGAGGGGATGGGGGTGAGAGGGGATGGGGATGAGAGGGGATGGGGGTGAGAGGGGATGGGGATGAGAGGGGATGGGGAGGGACCGGCAGGGAACGGGGAGGGGAGGGGAAGCGTAAGGGGTCGGGGGAAAGGGGAGGGAAAGGGGAGGGAAAGGGGAGGGTATGGGGAAGGGAACGGGAGCGGAGGAAGGGGAGGCGGAGGGGATGGAAGATGGGGACGAAGGGGAAGGTAAGGGAGGGGAAGGGGAGGGGAAGCGGATGGAGTGGAATGGGAGGGGAGGAGGGTGGAAGGGGAAGGAAAGGGGGGGGGAATGGGGAGTAAAGAGTAAGGAAGTGGAACGGGAGGGGAAGGGGACAGGAAAGGGAGGGAAAGGGGAGGCCAAAGGAACAGGAAGTAGAGGGAAAGGAGAGGGGAAGTGGAGAAAATGGGGACTGGGGAAGGAGGGGGAAGGGTTTGTATGCTGGTGTATGAAATGAAAGGAAGGTACCTCCCATCCCATGGCCAACATGACCGCCATGCAGACACCATGCTCTGCAAAACCATCCACACCATGCACACCAATCACACATCATGCGCACACCATGCACACGCCACACATACACCATGCAAATGGCCACTGCAGCCATCCAAGACATGGCTGATGGGGCGAGCCCAATGCAAGGCGTGCGCACACCATGGGGGAATCACGCTGTGCTTCGTCATGGGCTGGGCGTTGAGAAGGGTGGGTAGCATGGCACGAAAGTGGATGGAAAGGGGGAGGAAAAGGATGGCGGGAAGGAAGGGGGGATGGTGGTGGTGGGGAGGAATTAGGGAAGTTGCGCATATCCTCATATACCACCGTACAATGATCAGAGCGCAGCTAACGCTCACTCACAACGAGTCAAACCACATTACAGCTGCTGCTGCCTCACCCTTCCCACTAACACCTCCATCATCGCCCCCGTGCATCCACTCTCTCGTGTAATATATGGCTCTGCCTCCCACACTGCCTGGCTCCGTGTCGCAGCGATGAGTTGGGCACCTCTTGACTAGTTCATGAATGCTGCTGTTGGTGTGGACAAGGGAGGGGAGGCGCACAAGGTAAAGGGGTACTTCAGAGAGAGGAGAGAGGCAGACAGCAGTTGATGGTATTGCTTCCCAATGAATGCTACATGGGAGGGGGTGAGGATAATGAGGGGGGTTTGTGGGAAGGGTTGCCTTGCAATGTCACCAGTCATGGTGTCATATGACACCCAGGAGGGTGATCAGCTCCTCCTGCTGCTTCACCCTCACTACCACCCACCGCCACAGTTGCATAACCACTGGTGTTTTAACTAAACATAGTATTTTGGTGGAGCGCGCAAGCACCTGCCCAATGTAATGAATGGTCTAAGTATCTTCCTGCATTATCCCTTGCTTGCATTGACAGAGCCAACTACTAGTAGCGATATCTACAGGGTCAAGGAAATTCCCCCACAGCCACTTGAGGAAACGTTGCCTTCACAAGCTCCTCCAAGCCATAAACGTTTGAATACAATCTCTTGAAGCTAGGCAGGCGCTGCAAGCACTTCACTGCAACTTCACACGTAACTGTGCTTCGCCACAACTGCAAGCTTTCCAAACTAGTCACCTGCCCAATGTGCTCCATGCCTGCATCGGTAATCCCTTCCACAGAGAGAATCTTCAGCCTCGTCAGGGACGTCAACTGCTGCAGCCCGGCATCCTTCACTCCACTCCCATCCGCCCACAGCTGCTCAAGGCTTGTCAGCCTCCCCACATGCTCCATGCCAGCAGATGTGACACCCTCGCATTCGGAAAAACTAAGATTCTCGAGTGAGGAAAGAGCTGTGAGGTGCAGCAAGCCAGCATCAGTCACGCTGGTGTTGTCAAGAATGAGCCACATGAGGCTTCTTACTTTCCCAATGCCTTCCAAGGCATCGTCCGAAACAATGGTGTTAAAGAGGTAAAGCCTTTCCAGGCGTGACAGCTTGAAGAGGTGCTTTATGCCCTCTGGAGTGAAGCCTGAAGACTTGCCCAAGTGAACTGACTTCAAGTGGGTCAGTGTAGACACAACACGCAGGGCTGAGTCTGAGACGCTGGTGAGGTCCTTTAACTCCAAAGAAGTTCTTCTCAACATTACCCCACTGAATGCTGATGGGAGAGCCTGGAGGGAATTCACAGCAAAGGCAGGTAAGAGCCTAGATTCAGATAATTGCATTCACGCATCGACCGAAAGAACTGCAAAGATGTGGCATTAACGCTATAAACACAAAGCAGGAAGCTTGGAGATTGCGATTCATGTTCTCAGCTTCCCGATACCAGCAATTACTACTTACATCCAACACTTGTGTGCTTCCCCAGTTGCCTCGTACAAGAGCGAGTACAGCTTCCTCCAAGGCAGCTTCAATCTTCAGACGGCTGGTTTGCTCAGCGACCTCCTCTTTCATTGCTGCCACCTCCCCCTTTGCTGCTGCCACCTCTGCCTTTGCTGCTGCCACCTCAGCCTTTGCTGCTGCCACCTCCCCCTTTGTTGCTACCAACTCATGTGCTTGCCCTGTCATTACAATCTTTTGTGCTTCCAACTTTCTTCTTCCTTCTGCAAACTTCCTATTGGCTGCTGCTAACTCTCCCTTAACTGTTGCCAGCTCCTCTGCATGTACTGTCAACGAGTTATCGTGTGCAGCCAATGCCACCTTGGCTGCCGCCAAAGCCCCCTTTGCTGCCGCCAATTCCTCTGCTTTCCCTGTCAACGAGTTCTTCTGTTCTGCCAACCCTTCTTTGGTTGCTCTCACCTCCTTTGCTTGCCTTGTGATCGCTCTCTTGTGTTCAGCCAACTCCCTCCTTGTCTCTTCCAGCTGCACGTCAAGAGCCCTCATTCTCATCTCCATCGCCTCTATCAACTCGCGTATTCCAACCATACTCGCTATGGCACTCCCAGCAGCGTGCCGCACTCTCTGCAACCCAGAATAGCCATGATTCCTACGCATTACAGCACACAGGTGGGAGCACACGTGTGCTGATGGAAATTAAGAACTCGGGGAGGCCGAGAGAAAAAAAATGCAGGTGGTGCACCGGGAGATATGAGGAAGTCAAGAAAGGAAACAAGAGTAAAATTGAGCAGAGAGAGCTCAGATCGTAAAGAAAAAGGCCACACAACATGACAGCGCTTATTACACAAGAAGCAACGCGCACCACAGAAAAGGATCACATTGGGAACAAGGGGAAGACATGAGAACCGAAGGAACAAAGATGAGGTTGAGAATTAGTGAGATGCGGCAAGCTCACATGGGGTTGTGCAGCAGAGGGAAGATACCACGTGTCTGCAGCATGATGAGGGACGAAGGGAGTGAAGGAGAGAGGGCGCAAGATGGGTGAGGAATGCACAGCCACATGTAAACGAGGAGTGAGTGGAGGCAGGGGAGATTGCATAGAGAAGAAACGACTCGCAGATAGGCAAAGCCACAGCGGTGGGGAGCAGAGTGCATGGCATACCAGGAGGCACTTGGTTGCACTCTTCAGCTTCATCAGCCCAGCAGTCACAACCAAGCCCTGCTGATGCACCCATGCTCTGACATGCGTGTGGGTCACGCCCATCCCCCACAGCAGTGCCACGACAGTGGCGACAAGAGTGGCGATGGCAGTATACATCATGAGTAGATAAAATTCACCCGGAGACTGCAGGTGCAGGGCAACAAGGGCGTAAGCAGTGACGCATGAGTAAGGAAAGGGCACTTAATTCCTGAACAATGAAATCAGGCATAATTGCTGGTTGGTTGCAGCAAGGTGCAACCGCAGAAGCCTCGTTAATCACAACAGGCACCAGGGTGTGGAGGGAGTGAAGGGGCACGATGAGAGTGTGGCCATGCTGAAGGGAGGTGATGATGGAATGAGCACGAGTGGGAGATAGGCATGTGACACTCTGACATGTGCCAGGGGGGAATGGCCTGAGAGGTGTGGGCAGAGCATGCAAACGGGGACACATGCATACACAAATACGAACAGGCATGGGCTCACACACATGCAAGGATACGCACCCACACATGTGCAAGCATACGCACCCACACATGTGCAAGCATACGCACCCACACACGTGCAAGCATACGCAGTCACACATGTGCAAGCATACGCACCCGCACAAGCACATAACACATGAAGCACACAGGAATTCAGTGCAACTACATTAATCAAAAGTGAGTAAAGAAATGCAAGCAAACGAAACCATAAACGGACGGAACTATTGTGGAGGGAAAGAGAACACTTGCTTACATGAGGGAGGGGAGTGGAGAAAAGCATCAGAGAGTGCTTGAATTGCTGACTGGCACGTGGCACCTGCAAGATGCAACGTGGAAATCACAGGGGCATGCTGAGACAAGAGGCCAGGCAGCCGTGTAAGGCATGAGCACAATGTGGTTAACATGTGCAGCTGCGTTGGAGTGGGCATGACGTGGCCAGCATCGCAAGAGCGACCAGACCACGATGCATCAGATCCCTGCCATGCCATGGCAGTGAACACTCACCTCCCCTGCCATGATGGCACGCCAGGCATCTTTGTGAAGTGGATTGATGCTGATGAATGCGATGACAGCGATGGCCGTGCCGAGAACGACGCCGAACACCAGCCCTGGAAGCAGCATGGCCATTGCAGTGAGGGCTTATGGGGCGAGCCCAATGTAAGGCGCGAGTCTGCACAGTGAGGTGCGGCAGGAGCAGCGGAGGGACACGGCCAGTGGCAGAGGAAGGAAGGGATAAGTGTCAGCAGCAAGGGAAGGAGGGGATAAGCGGCAGAAGCAGGGGGAGGTGAGGAAAAGCGGTAGTAACAATGGAAGGGAGAGGCGGCAGAAGCATAGGATGGAAGGCGCAAGCGGCAAGAGGGAGTCAGTGGCATGAAAACAAAAACGGTGCAACTGGATAGGGACAGACTGGGATTATGGTTATAAAATTGAGAACATAGAGACCGTTGGCGAGAAGGAATCACATGAAGGAACACGGGGATTGTCAAACTTAGGTGCATCTGAAGGTGAGGTGAACAAGGCAGCAGGGGTGGCAAAAAGAAGAGGCAGTAGACAGTGAACGCTGATGGATGGATTGTGCTTTGCACAACAACGAAGGAGCAACACAGGAAAGATGCAGAGGAGAGAGATGGAAATCCCAAAGATGGTTGTATACCTTGAAAGGTGATGGCAGAGCGGCAGAATGCAGTGGAGGACGACAGATCACAAGATTGGCGAGCAGAAAGCGCAATCTGGCAGCAGCAGATGCACGGCGGGGGACAAGACGCACGAGACATGCGGAGTGTACAAAATGCAGTCGTGAGAATTCAAAAGTGGGTGGAAAAGAATGAGATAAAACAAACGATCCTCAACTTTACATCAAATTATAATTCCTCGACAGGAATACAATGAGGATGTGCATGGCCAAGCAAGCAAGAAGAACAAGCGAATCCATCCTTGTGTTTTGTTCAATCCTCCCTCAGGAGTGCCACGCCAAGTGGAGGAGCAAGAAATGGCGAAACTGGTGACAGGAACAGCAACAACATGCTGGAAAAGAGCAGACGCAAAGAGGATTCAATCAGTAGAGACAAGCTGAACTGACAATGTGCGAGGCAAAAAGAGAAGACTAGTAACGCACGAACTAAGTTGCAAGGAGGTGCAGCTGGTCCTACGCACGGGTGAAAGGGGATGAGGACACATCGAAAGTTGTGATGCAGAAAACAGATCCGAGATAAACGGATCCAGGTGAAACAGATCCAAGGGAATCGGATCCAGGAGAATCGGATCCAGGGGAATCGGATCCAAGGGAATCGGATCCAGGGGAATCGAATTCAAGTGAATCATAACAAGGGGAATCGGATCCAGGGGAACCGGATCCAAGGGAAACGGATCAAGGGGAATCGGATCTAGGGGAAACGGATCTGGTGAAAATGGATCTAGGGGAAACGGATGCAGGGGAACTGCAGGAAATGGTGCAGTGGACAACTACTCACAGTAGACTGATGTGTGACGGTGGCGCGCCAAATAGTGGCAACGAGCTGCCAGTTTGCGAAGAGAGTGGCAGCAGTGAAGAGCAGGGCGGAAGAGGACAGAAGGTGAGAAGGAATGATGCAGTAGGTGGAGAGGAACTCAGAGTGGTTCATCTCAACGGGAAGGTTTGGGTGAGAGGGAAACACCTGGCCCCCCTTGGGATGAACGACGCCGAGCGACGGAATGGGTTGCAAACTCCTGCTCGACATGCAGGGGCCAGCGACGCCAGCGACGGATGCAAAATCCGTTGAGACAACCTCGAGAAAAGATCTCAACGGGGTTAGGGTTTTTCGACATCTGGCGAGTAACCGTGCGTCCACGCGAGCAACGAAATCATCTCGCCACGAGATTGCGACAGGTGTTACTCTTGCTCCATTTGCAGAAACTCTTTAAACGCAATAAGACGCACTTTCTGAACACTCAAGTCACGATCGGTATTTCTACCACTAATAAACAAATCACGATACAAAGCATGAGAGCACATGCTGACCGAGGAAAAAACATTCCAATGTTTAGGTTCCAATGCACAAGATCCATTTGCCCACGAATCTTTGTCAGCATGCACAACAAAGAAAAAACACCAGGCGAGGGTGCACTGTTCACACCCACACACACGAGGGAGTTTCGTCAGGGACAGGTTGATCGAGCGGTGGTGACCGAGGAAAAAAAAGCATTCCCGTGTGTTTGTGTTCTCATGCACATGATGCATTTGCCCTCGAATCTTTGTCAACATGCACGACAACCAAAAAACACCTTGTGCGAGACGAAGTGTACTATACATACCCACGCACACGATTGAATTTCGTCACGGAGAGGTTTATTGCGCGCTGACCGAGGAAAAACAAATCATTCTCATATGTGTGGGTTCTCAAGCACAAGATCCATCTGCCACGCATCTTTGTCAGCATGCACGACAACGAAAAAACATCTTGTGCGGAATGAGATTGTACTGTGAAGGCGTGTTACAGTTTTCGAAGTCGCTGAACGTCCGGACGGCTCTCCGGACGCGTGCGAAGATTGCGACGTCGCACGGTCGCTCTGCGACCAATGCGATGTCGTAAGAACGCAATACGAAGAATGCGACGTCGTCTATACCCTGACGAACTCACTGCCGAGATTTAACGAGTTCTGTAACAACACAATCGTCCTGACGGTTGGCCGTCCGGACGAAAAGGATGAAAAATGTAACACGCGCTAAGCACACGATGAAGTTTCATCACGGAGAAGTTGATCGTGTGCTGACCGAGGAAAAATAATCATTCCCATGTGTTTGGGTTCTCAAGCACAAGATCCATCTGCCACGCATCTTTGTCAGCATGCACGACAACGAAAAAACATCTTGTGCGGAATGAGATTGTACTGTGAAGGCGTGTTACAGTTTTCGAAGTCGCTGAACGTCCGGACGGCTGTCCGGACGCGTGCAAAGATTGCGACGTCGCACGGTTGCTCTGCGACCAATGCGATGTTGTAAGAACGCAATACGAAGAATACGACGTCGTCTATACCCTGACGAACTCACTGCTGAGATTTAACGAGTTCTGTAACAACACAATCGTCCTGACGGTTGGCCGTCCGGACGAAAAAGATGAAAAATGTAACACGCGCTAAGCACACGATGAAGTTTCATCACGGAGAAGTTGATCGTGTGCTGACCGAGGAAAAATAATCAAACACAGGATGCAACTGCCGCCCACCCAACGCAGAGCACGAGAAAATGCGTCCATCTTTGAATGCACGCACGAGAAAATGCGTGCGCACCTTTGTGAGCGCGCACGACAAATGACGTCTTGCTATGGGGAAGATTGTTTTTTCGTGCTCGCGCGCAGACAACAAAAAATTCGTGTGCACAACAACACCTCGTCAGAGGCACGATCTGTTGCCTGACGTACAAACGCTGTTCTTGATCAGACGCAGACGACAAAACAAAATCATGGGCACAACTACACAAGTCACTCTGCAGAACGAGCAGTTTTTTTGTTCGTGCGCAGAACCTGCTCGTCAGGAATTGTGCGTAGAATGTGTTCGTGCGCAGAACTTTGTTCAGCCCCACGCGCAACTTTTGTTGCCACATGTGACGCGCGTGGAACTGGCCAAGCTGACCGTGTACAGAGTACCTTTGTCAGCATGCTCGAAATATTTTCAGAAGTGTTTTGGGTAATCCTCAAAATATTCGGCACCATTCATCCCTCGGATTTCGAGGCCAATAAGCATCTGACGGTTGAAATCATTCGCATGTGTTTGGGTTCTCAAGCACAAAATGCATCTGCCTGTCAGAATATGTTGTTTGTGTAGCCTGCAGTGGGGTACTCTATAGTGAGTACAGCCCCTTAGGGTTTGCTATTTGTATCCTGCTGCTTGCTAGTTCAATCATTCCTTCTCAATTCTGTTCCTGCACACAATCCTAGCTCGTACTTGGCTCCTCGTTACTAGTCCTACTGTGGCCTAGGCTACTAAGCCTAGGCCGTACTCCTACTACTTCTGACATGGTATCAGAGCGCGGCATGTCTGCCGCCTTCCTGTGTATGGGCCCACCACCCGCTTCCGCTGCCGTACTGTCCGCCGCGCGCCCCGTGGTGCGCGGCGGCGAAACCCTAATTTCTGCCCGCCGCGCGCTCGGGGCGCCTGGCGGTTTTCCCTTCCGTGGCGCCCGTCGTGGTGCCCTTGGGGGGGCCTCCGCGGTCCCCTCCCGTCGAAGCGCCCGTCGAGGCGCTCTCGGGGACCCGCGCGGCCTCCCCTCCCGTCGCCCGTCGAGGCGACCTCGGGGACCCGCGCGGCCTCCCCTCCCGTCGCCCGTCGAGGCGACCTTGGGGGCCCGCGCGGCCTCCCCACCAGTCGCCCGTCGTGGCGACCACGGGGGCCGCGCGCGGTCCCCTCCCGTCGCCCGTCGAGGCGACTTCGGGGGCTGTGCGCGGCCCTCCCCGTCGCCCGTCGAGGCGACTTCGGGGGGCCCGCGCGGCGCCCTCCCCGTCGCCCGTCGAGGCGACTTCGGGGGGCCCGCGCGGCACCCTCCCCGTCACCCGTCGAGGCGGCTCTGGGGGCTCGTCGCGGCGCCCTCCCTGGTGCCCGTCGCGGCGCCCCGGGGGGGGGCCGCGCGGCTCCCTTCTCGTCGCCCCTCGGGGCGCCCTGGGGGCCGTGCGTTTCCCCCCCCCCCCCTTCTGCCTTTCAACTGCGGCGGCCGCCCCTGGAGCCGCCCGCCACTGCAGCAGCAGCCCCTGGAGCCGCCCGCCACTGCAGCAGCCGCCCCTGGAGCAGCCCGCACCTGCAGCAGCCGCCCCTGGAGCAGCCCGCACCTGCAGCAGCCGCCCCTGGAGCAGCCCGCACCTGCAGCAGCCGCCCCAGGACCCGCGCGAGCCGCCTCTGCAGAAGCCCGCACCGTCCCCCCCCCCCCCCCCCCCCCGGTGCTGCCCATTGCTCCCATTCCACCGTGCGTTCCGCGGTGGCTGGGGTGTGGGGTGGCGAGCATGGGGGTGAGAGGTGTGGGTTCTCCCCTCCTCCTTTTTCGTCTCCCACTGCTGCAGCTGCCGCTGAGGGGGGTGGAGGTGTGGGAGTCGTGGGGAGTGGCACTAGGGGGGTGATGTGGGAGTGGAGCTAGGGGTGAAGCAGGGGGTGTGTGAGAGGGGTGTGGGACTGTTGGGGGAGGTTGAGTGGAGGCTGCTGTCTTGTCGTCCGCAGCACCTGTAGTCCAGGGCGCACTGTCCTGGTAGCTCAGAGAGCCTGCTGCACCTGTTGCCCGTGGGTCCGTTGCTCCTGCCGCTCGTCGCAGCCGCAGAGCCTGTTACTCCTGTATTCCGGGACGCACTGTCTCGGTAGCCACTGAGAGCCTGCTGCACCAGTCGCCCGTGGGTCCGTTGCTTCTGCCGCTCGTCGTAGCCGCAGAGCCAGTTACTCCAGTATTCCGGGGCGCTCTGTCTCGGTAGCCACTGTGTCAGCCGCCACTGTGTCAGCCGCTTCTGTTGCCCGTGTGTCTGCAGCTTCAGTCGTCGCCTCCCATCTTCTCTCCTTTCATAGTCCCTCCTCCTCCTCACTTGCCCTCTGTGATAGCCTCTAGCTTTGCTGATAATTATGAACTATTGCTATGACTGCTCATTGTGCTGATTACACCCCACTTTGGCTATGGGGGTGTGTCAGAATATGTTGTTTGTGTAGCCTGCAGTGGGGTACTCTATAGTGAGTACAGCCCCTTAGGGTTTGCTATTTGTATCCTGCTGCTTGCTAGTTCAAT